AAGAATAGAGTCCCTATATATGATATGAACGAAGAAAGGGGATGGGGTGGGGCGGGGGTGGGGGGATGAGGTATTTGACATTGTCATGTGGCCTCGTCCAGTCGATAAAATCAGTCAGTTAGTTCAGTCGAATAATCCAGTCGAATAAACCAGTCGAATAATTCAGTCGAAAAGTTCAGTCGAATAAACCAGTCGTATAGTTCAGTCGAATAATTCAGTCGAATAATCCAGTCGAATAATTCAGTCGCTCAATATTAAGCAGCGGTGGCAGCGGGCTAAGATAATATAGTAGCAAATCATGCTCGTAGCCATAGCTGAAGGAGCCGGGGGCATGGGGTAGGGACCGGGGGGCTTCCCAACTAGTTTCAAGAAATGAAAAGAAATGAAATGGGGTTTAACGTCCTTCTGTTCTGCTTGGAACTGGGCTAATGAAGACGGGCAGACGCCATACACTGTGCGATGAGGGAAATTTTGCCCGGACAGCGGCACTACGGCCTACTCTTATATCGAATTCCATCTGTCAAAGGGATCTTTTACGTCCACTCCAATGTAGACACGGGACCTCGGTTTTTCGTCCCATCCGAAAGACTAGACAGCTGTCCTTGTCCGCCTCGAAAAGAATAGAGTCCCTATATATGATATGAACGAAGAAAGGGGATGGGGTGGGGCGGGGGGGGATGAGGTATTTGACATTTTCATGTGGCCTCGTCCAGTCGATAAAATCAGTCAGTTAGTTCAGTCGAATAATCCAGTCGAATAAACCAGTCGAATAATTCAGTCGAAAAGTTCAGTCGAATAAACCAGTCGAATAGTTCAGTCGAATAATCCAGTCGAATAAACAAGTCGCTCAATATTAAGCAGCGGTGGCAGCGGGCTAAGCTGATATGGTAGCAAATCATGCTCGTAGACATAGCTGAAGGAGCCGGGGCATGGGGTAGGGACCGGGGGGCTTCCCAACTAGTTTCAAGAAATGAAAAGAAATGAAATGGGGGTTCAACGTCCTTCTGTTCTGCTTGGAACTGGGCTAATGAAGACGGGCATACGCCATACACTGTGCGATGAGGGAAATTTTGCCCGGACAGCGGCACTACGGCCTACTCTTTTATCGAATTCAATCTGTCAAAGGGATCTTTTACGTCCACTCCAATGTAGACACGGGACCTCGGTTTTTCGTCCCACCCGAAAGACTAGACAGCTGTCCTTGTCCGCCTCGAAAAGAATAGAGTCCCTATATATGATATGAACGAAGAAAGGGGATGGGGTGGGGCGGGGGGGGATGAGGTATTTGACATTTTCATGTGGCCTCGTCCAGTCGATAAAATCAGTCAGTTAGTTCAGTCGAATAATCCAGTCGAATAAACCAGTCGAATAATTCAGTCGAAAAGTTCAGTCGAATAAACCAGTCGAATACTTCAGTCGAATAAACCAGTCGAATACTTCAGTCGAATAAACAAGTCGCTCAATATTAAGCAGCGGGCTAAGATAATATGGTAGCAAATCATGCTCGTAGACATAGCTGAAGGAGCCGGGGCATGGGGTAGGGACCGGGGGGCTTTCCAACTAGTTTCAAGAAATGAAAAGAAATGAAATGGGGTTTAACGTCCTTCTGTTCTGCTTGGAACTGGGCTAATGAAGACGGGCAGACGCCATACACTGTGCGATGAGGGAAATTTTGCCCGGACAGCGGCACTACGGCCTACTCTTATATCGAATTCCATCTGTCAAAGGGATCTTTTACGTCCACTCCAATGTAGACACGGGACCTCGGTTTTTCGTCCCATCCGAAAGACTAGACAGCTGTCCTTGTCCGCCTCGAAAAGAATAGAGTCCCTATATATGATATAAACGAAGAAAGGGGATGGGGTGGGGCGGGGCTGGGGGGGGGGATGAGGTATTTGACATTTTCATGTGGCCTCGTCCAGTCGATAAAACCAGTCAGTTAGTTCAGTCGAATAATCCAGTCGAATAAACCAGTCGAATAATTCAGTCGAAAAGTTCAGTCGAATACTTCAGTCGAATAATTCAGTCGAATAATCCAGTCGAATAATTCAGTCGAATAAACAAGTCGCTCAATATTAAGCAGCGGTGGCAGTGGGCTAAGATGATATGGTAGCAAATCATGCTCTTAGACATAGCTGATGGAGCCGGGGCATGGGGTAGAGACCGGGGGGCTTCCCAACTAGTTTCAAGAAATGAAAAGAAATGAAATGGGGTTTTAACGTCCTACTGTTCTGCTTGGAACTGGGCTAATGAAGACGGGCAGACGCCATACACTGTGCGATGAGGGAAATTTTGCCCGGACAGTGGCACTACGGCCTACTCTTATATCAAATTCCATCTGTCAAGGGATCTTTTACGTCCACGCCAATGTATACACGAGACCTCGTATGTCGTATGTCCGTCTTCATTAGCCCAGTTCCAAGCAGAACAGAAGGACGTTAAACCCCCATTTTATTTCTTTTCATTTCTTGAAACTAGTTTGGAAGCCCCCCGGTCCCTACCCCGTGCCCCCGGCTCCTTCGGGTATGGCTACAAGCATGATTTGCTACTAATTATTTTAGCCCGCTGCCACCGCTGCTTAATATTGAGCGACTTGTTTATTCGACTGAACTATTCGACTGGTTTATTCGACTGAACTTTTCGACTGAATTATTCGACTGATTTATTCGACTGGATTATTCGACTGAACTAACTGACTGATTTTATCGACTGGACGAGGCCACATGAAAATGTCAAATACCTCATCTTCCCCCACCCCGCCCCACCCCATCCCCTTTCTACGTTCATATCATATATAGGGACTCTATTCTTTTCGAGGCGGACAAGTACAGCTGTCTGGTCGTTCGGATGGGACGAAAAACCGAGGTCCCGTGTCCACATTGACGTGGTCGTAAAAGATCCCTTGACAGATGGAATTCGATAAAAGAGTAGGCCGTAGTGCCGCTGTCCGGGCAAAATTTCCATCATAGCACAGCGTATGGCGTATGCCCGTCTTCATTAGCCCAGTTCCAAGAAGAACAGAAGGACGTTGAACCCCCATTTCATTTCTTTTCATTTCTTGAAACTAGTTGGGAAGCCCCCCGGTCCCTACCCCATGCCCCGGCTCCTTCAGCTATGTCTACGAGCATGATTTGCTACCATATTATCTTAGCCCGCTGCTTAATATTGAGCGACTTGTTTATTCGACTGAATTATTCGACTGAACTATTCGACTGAAGTATTCGACTGGTTTATTCGACTGAACTTTTCGACTGAATTATTCGACTGGTTTATTCGACTGAATTATTCGACTGAACTAACTGACTGATTTTATCGACTGGACGAGGCCACATGAAAATGTCAAATACCTCATCCCCCCCCCGCCCCACCCCATCCCCTTTCTTCGTTCATATCATATATAGGGACTCTATTCTTTTCGAGGCGGACAAGGACAGCTGTCTAGTCTTTCGGATGGGACGAAAAACCGAGGTCCCGTGTCTACATTGGAGTGGACGTAAAAGATCCCTTTGACAGATGGAATTCGATATAAGAGTAGGCCGTAGTGCCGCTGTCCGGGCAAAATTTCCCTCATCGCACAGTGTATGGCGTCTGCCCGTCTTCATTAGCCCAGTTCCAAGCAGAACAGAAGGACGTTAAACCCCATTTCATTTCTTTTCATTTCTTGAAACTAGTTGGAAAGCCCCCCGGTCCCTACCCCATGCCCCGGCTCCTTCAGCTATGTCTACGAGCATGATTTGCTACCATATTATCTTAGCCCACTGCCACCGCTGCTTAATATTGAGCGACTTGTTTATTCGACTGAATTATTCGACTGGATTATTCGACTGAATTATTCGACTGAACTATTCGACTGGTTTATTCGACTGAACTTTTCGACTGAATTATTCGACTGGTTTATTCGACTGGATTATTCGACTGAACTAACTGACTGATTTTATCGACTGGACGAGGCCACATGAAAATGTCAAATCCCCCCCCCCCCCCGCCCCACCCCATCCCCTTTCTTCGTTCATATCATATATAGGGACTCTATTATTTTCGAGGCGGACAAGGACAGCTGTCTAGTCTTTCGGATGGGACGAAAAACCGAGGTCCCGTGTATACATTGGAGTGGACGTAAAAGATCCCTTTGACAGATGGAATTCGATATAAGAGTAGGCCGTAGTGCCGCTGTCCGGGCAAAATTTCCCTCATCGCACAGTGTATGGCGTATGCCCGTCTTCATTAGCCCAGTTCCAAGCAGAACAGTAGGACGTTAAAACCTCATTTCATTTCTTTTCATTTCTTGAAACTAGTTGGGAAGCCCCCCGGTCTCTACCCCATGCCCCGGCTCCTTCAGCTATGTCTAAGAGCATGATTTGCTACCATATCATCTTAGCCCACTGCCACCGCTGCTTAATATTGAGCGACTTGTTTATTCGACTGAATTATTCGACTGAAGTATTCGACTGAACTATTCGACTGGTTTATTCGACTGAACTTTTCGACTGGTTTATTCGACTGGATTATTCGACTGAACTAACTGACTGATTTTATCGACTGGACGAGGCCACATGATAATGTCAAATACCTCATCCCCATCGCCCCCCTAACCCAACATATCATATATAGGGACTCTATTCTTTTGGAGGTGGACAAGGACAGATGTCTAGTCGTTCGGATGGGACGAAAAACCGAGGTCCCGTGTACACATTGGCGTGCACTTAAAAGATGGGGGCATATGGGGATGAGGGAAAAAGTCAAGCATGACTTTATTAAGCCGCGGTGGCAATAACTAAGATAACACCTTAAAGTTTTAATTTGAACAATCAAATTTGAACATGAGAGGACGTAAAAAATAAACAAAAACAATGATAAAAGATATTGGAATTAGTGCGTTTTTTCTTTAACTTATACAGATTACAAACGATTCCAAAATTTTAATAAGCCATCGACCGGTTTATTCGACTGACTATTTGTTTTGGACTTAGGGTCGACTCACCTTTTATGCTTTTATGAAGTCAAAGAACACGTTGATTTGTTTCGCGACCTATACATAGGCCTACAGTATTTGTTTAAAGACCCAAACGGTAAGTATTTCATATAGTTTATTAATAATTAAATTTTGCTATACATAGCCTACTAGATCTACTTCCTCTCACAGCCAAATGTGGTTAGAACTAAAACTTAGAACTTAAAAGGCCAGGCAAATTTTCTGATTTCATGTAACAATGGCTGCGTTGTTATTTATTGTTACTGTTATTAGGGCCTATAATATTAGTTATTACTTATTATAAGGGCCTGTGTTGAAGAAATTCCCTTACTGAAAAAGAAGACAATGATGCAAAATTAGATATCATTTTTCGATTTTTACAAAATAGATTGAATATGAAAACAGGACGAAAGCAAAAAGATAGGCAACGTATGACATATTAAATTATTGCGGCTTTAGTTTTAGTCTACTTTTAGACACTTTAGTCTTACTGAGCTGGAAGGAATTAACAGTGTGACCTGCTCTAGTAGTCATTCAGTTGTTTTGTTTCGTAACGGTCACTCACGGACAAAGTCTTCTGTGAATTCCTGTCCGTCCTTATTATTATTAAGCCACAATATGAAAATACAACTCTTTTAGCCATTACCACAGTCTCTGTCTAAGGCTATTTTGGAGTCTTTTCCTTCTATTTTCACTGTATTTCTTTGTTTGCCAAAAGGAATCATTTTCCACAACATTTGATAATAGGCTATATATTGATAATAATCTATCACCATTTTCAAGTGTTTTGAATCACAAAATTCTATTTAAAAAAAGCAAAAAATTTGATTATTATTATTTATGTACAGTTCTATGGATTGCAATTACCAGTGCTGCTTATTACTGAGCGATGTTTCGAGTAGGGAAGCCCAGTCGAAACATCGCTCAGTAATAAGCAGTAATTGTATTCCAGAGAATTGTGACCTGTATATTCCAGTTCAATTACTAAATGCGATTGAAACAATTCAGTATTTTCTTATTGAAGCTTTCCATTTGGACTGACAGGAATGGTCAAAGAATTTTGTCTGCGAGATACAGTTCTGACAGGAATTAGTCATTCAGATGGTACGATAAACAAGTTCCCCTGTACACGGCATGCACGTACCGGTAACTAAAAGAACCTTTTACAGTTTGAAATTGAAATAAGAGTAGGCTGGCAAACCAAAATTTCTTTATACACGTACTAGTACACTGCATGTCAGATATCGGTTTCATTATTCTCTGGTGTGGTTACCCCATGTCAGTGGTGCAGGACAGGGGACCTGACCAGGACAGCTGTCTAGTCATTTGGATGGGACAAAAAACAAGGTCACATGTTCACATTGGCGTGCACGTAAAAGATGCCGTGGCAGTTGGAATTGGATATATAACTTGTAAGAGTAATTCATAGCTGTCCGGGCAAAATTTCACTCATATCATGTGCTCATCTTCATTAACCCAGGCGGAAAAGAACAGAAGGACATTAAACCCAATTTCATTTCATCTCCGTCTTCCATAGCTCGAATAATCCCATTTGGAATTTAATTCCCCAAACAACCTTCAATTGTTGTTTTCTACATTCTACACTAGTGGGATTAGTTGCAGAAAGTATGACAATAAACACCCCATTTCATTTCTTTAGTATAAATTGTCATGTAATTTTGTCCATGCTATCAGTCTATCTATCCATTTCATATAGTTTACGTTTGTGCCTTTTTAGAAATGAAATGAAATGAAATGAAATGGAGTTTAACGTCCTACTGTTCTACTCCATACTGGGCTAATGAAGACAGGCATATGCCATACAGTGTGCTATGAGGGGAGATTTTGCCTGGACAGTGGCGCTACGGCCTACTCTTATATTGAATTCCAACTGTCAAGTGATCTTTAACATGCACGTCAATGTGTACATGGGACCTCAGGTTTTTGTACCATCCGAACGACTAGACAGCTGTCCTTGTCAGGCCCTCCATCCTGCTTCACTGACAAGGGGAAACATGGACTGGTAACAATGAGTGAACGAAGGGAGGAGGGTGGCTGGTACATAAGTTTACCTTACATATAAAAAAGAAAAACAGTCCATGGACCCAATAACTATTCCTAAGCACATGTGTATGTCATTAGTAAGGGAAAGTGAGGTAATGTTAAATATTATGTTAATTTTGGAAATTTCATTTGTAAACAAATTAATCGCCACCCAGATTCTTTCCATAGAAAAAGCTAAGCTTATTATTACTGCACCAAGTTATTAGTAAGGGTTAGATTATCTGTACAAATTTACCAGCACACAAAGACTCTCCTTTTATATTACTGGATTGAATATCGTCTGAACACAAAGGTGGGACCAAATAAACCAGTTTAACAACCCCACCTGTAGCCGTCTTAAAATCTCTGGCTCCAGCTTGCTTTGGGCATGCACAGTACCGTAAACTATAGCCTGTTCCTGGCAAAATGACGACATGTGCAACAGCATTTGGTCTTAAATACCCTGCAATTTTGAACTAGTTTGAATATAAGCTTCTGAATAGGCTACCAGAAGGAAATAAACATTTTAAACCCACTTACTTTACAATTTTCTCAAGCTAAAAATAAATTGGGGGGTTAAACTGACCAGAAATAGAACAGACAAATCCAGTTTGTGGCGATTTACAACGTACAAGGACATTGATGCATCTCAGAATAGTTTCTGTAAACTATAGGCCTAAACATGCACAAGGCCTCCAATCTAATTCTGAATTGGCCTTTTGTGTAGTGAAGTGAAGGTTAACCAATGCGGTATTTTTAACTATGTTAGTGTACATGTACATGGCAGTAGCTAAATAATTTTTCACATTATGTTTTATTTATATTTTTTAGAAGTTGATTTGGAGAAAAATAAAGCTCCTTAAGCAGAGAAAAGACACAAGAATGTATTGATGTTGGATGTTTAAGTTGAAAAAATCAAACTAAAGACTTCAGCAGAAGTGAAATGATCCCAAAAAGAACTTAAGGGGGGAATATGTTTCAAGTAATTTCTTTATACTTTCTAATTATGTGCCTTCATTTCAACTTACAGATACATTATGTAAGATTTAGATAGAGAGCTAGCCATTCTTGCTATAATAGTTCGAAAATAGATAATGTAAAATGAATAATATTGAAAATTTCATTCAAATTGCTTTATTGCCAGCGAAGATATTAGAATTTGAAGTTTTGAAAAGACGTGTGCAATAATTGCATCGACCGTACTGGTTGTTCAAAGCTAAGTCTCGTTCCTCCTTTTTAAGATTAAATCAAAATATGGCTGAACCGTTCTAATCTAGCTAATATCAGAGAAATCAGGTGACATCAAGAGATGATTAGTTAAACTTACATTATGCAAGAGCTAAATCTGCCTATTGCAGGTCTTTCTTTAGCCTGAAAAGTTATCTAAATTATTAATAAGATATTAATAAACTGATCCAGACCATAATCAACTCTTGATGCCATGGGATGTCTCCGATATTAAATAGATTAGAACGGTTCAGCCGTATTTCGATTTAATTTAGAATTGGAGTATCAAGGCTTAGCTTAAGGAAAAATGGTTGCAATTAATGCACACATCTTGTCAAACTTCAAAGGATCATATCTTCATTCGCAATAGAGTAATTTACAGGAAATTTCAAATTATTCATTTTACATCATCTATTTTCAAACTGTTATAGCAATAATGGCTAGCTCTTTATCTAAATCTTACATAATGTATTTTTAATTAATGTCTAATTAATAATTTAGAAAACATTTCAGGCCTAAAGAAAGACTTGCAATAGGCAGATTTAGCTCATGCATAATGTATGTTTAATGGTTGTTACTGTACAATATACTTCATAAACACCCTACAGGTCAGAATTTCTGTAAGGGTTTGGCTAGTTCGAAGAGTCACCCAACCATCACTTTGTTAACGTTCACTGTGTATTATTTTGTGAATCTTGTATTGTGAACTCTCTAAAAAAATTTATTGTCCCCCGCCTTTCGAAGAAAGCAGGGAACTATTAAAATGGGTTCGTTTGTCTGTCTGTCTGTCCGTCAGTTTGTCTGTCCGTCACACTTTTTGGGACACAATAACTCTCTTTCTAATTGAGGTAGAATATTCAAACTTGGTGACGGTGTAGGTGTTTATTAGGTCAATACCTAATAAAGATGAGTGCAAAGATGAGCATTTTCTGCTTAGGTTAAGCAGAGATAAGCAAATTGATTGAGTGATGAAGCTTGATGTATAATTTCATTACATCAATACCTTGACTATGTTCGATAATGAGCATTTTCTGCTCAGGGTAAGCAGAGCGATAAGCTATTTGATTGGCAGAGATTTTAGAACAATAACTCTCCTTCTAATTGAGCTATAATGTTCAAACTTCTTGTAGATGTTTATTAGGTCAATGCCTTGATGGAGTTCGAAGATGAGCACTTTCTGCCTAGGGTAAGCAGAGATAAGCAATTTGGTTGGTTGATGCTTTGGGACACGATAACTTTAGTTCTAATTAAGTGAGAGTGATGAAACTTGGTGTATAGTTTCATTACATCAATACCTTGACTAAGTTCGATAATGAGTATGTTCGGGGTAAGCAGAGCGATAAGCAATTTGATTGGTCGAGACTTTGGAACACAATACCTATCATTTTAATTGAGTTAGAATGTTCACACTTGGCGTAGGTGTTTAGAAGATGAGAATCTTCTACTTAGGGTAAGCAGAGATAAGCAATTTGATTGGTTGATGCTTTGGGACACGATAACTTTAGTTCTAATTATGTGAGAGCGATGAAACTCCTAATATATTAATCCAATAAACTGAAATCAAGGCCTGAAATGTATTACTAGATTGTAAAAATGGATAAGTACTGCAAAGTTTAAGCAGTACCTTGTTACAGGAGTATTTCCGGCTGCATGAACGGTCATGTCCTCTGTATTCACTTCACCTGTGTTGTCATTTTTAGATTTAATGGCATTTATATTAATATTGGAGCCCTGGAGAAGACCATCCTGGTTGATTTTCAGGTGATCTATATTGGTATTATAATTCATGCTGATCACATAATGTGATGGGTTGTGTACTGTATGTAACATAAATTATCTGATCAAATATATCATTGTAGGGAATAATGAAATCTAGAGAAGAATACCAGAAGAAAAATGGTACAGGAGAAATTTCAAGATCTAGATTGGTAAAATGCTTTCTAGATGGAGCTTAGTAAATGCATTTCAAGATTGAGCTTATTAAAAATTGAATTCTAGAAATAGAAACCTTTGATTACCGTGCACCACAAGCTTTTGCTTACGATAATGTCGAATCATTTTGGTGTTGCAGAAATTGCAAAAGAGTGGATGGCGTCATATCTACAAAACAGGAGTTTTCGTGTAAAAGTTAAGAATGATTTCTCCGATGTAAAACATGTCAATTTTTCAGTTCCACAAGGTAGCATCAATGGTCCGATCTACTTTATCTGCTATACCAGTACACTAGCATCCTGCATCAGACACAATCAAACATTAGTTGGCTACGCCTATGACCACAGCTTGTATGACAGTTTTAAAGCCGGAGATCTTGATGCAGAATCTCATATTGCTTCCCGCGTATCAGAGTCCTTAGACGACGTTAAAATCTGGATGCTGCATAATCGACTAAAGATGAATGACGAAAAAACTGAGGTTATTATCTTCGGTGGTAGCCGTCAGCTCCACAAGTCTACCATCCACGAATTAAGAGTTGGGGATTCTGTAGTTGGGTCTTCATCCCGTGTTAAATTCCTGGGGATGCATTTGGACGAAAACTTAAACTTAAAGAGTCATTTTGCCCAGAAGACTTGTTGTGCTGCTTCGGCAATGTTCAACTTGCGGAAATTGAGACCGTTTCTTTCGCGAGAATCATCTCTTCAAATTGCCAGTTCTTTAGTTTTGTCCCATATGGATTACAGAAATAGTCTACTCTGTGGTTTGCCAGCAACTACTCTTCAACCTCTCCAACGAATTCAAAATTTTACTGCAAAGCTAATTCTTGGTGTTAATTACGGCCATAGCTCGACTGGTGCTCTGAAAGAACTTCATATATTGCCAGTTGAAGTCTGATGCCAATTCAAGCTACTGGTACTGGTGTATAAGTGTCTCCACAACCTTGCCCCAGTCTACCTTTCTGAATTATTGCAGTCCTAAACTTCATCATGCAATACGAGATCGTCATCAAAAAACATGTTATTTATACCCAAGACAAAAAGTAAAACATTTGCAGACAGATCGTTCAGTGTGCTAGGACCGCGGCTCTGGAATACCCTTCCAGAAAGTGTGAAACAATGTCAAACTGTAACGGATTTTAAAAAGAAACTCAAAACATATTTTTTTCGTAAAGCATTTCATTTAAGGTTTGTGTAAGACTTTGTGAAGCGCCATTGAATGCATGGCAGTAATGTGCACTATATCAAATGTAATATGTTATGTTATGTTATGTTATTACATCGTTTCTTCACAGACAGTTGAGTTGATGATAATGTAACAATAAAGAACTTTTTTCATTGGATCTTATTATTTCATTACAAATTTTGAATGTAAATACATGTAACATTTTGTTTTATATTTTGAAATATTGTATATATTATGCAAAATTGTGATAATTGTTTATTAATTTTGAAATATCTAGACTGTGATTTGGTTTTAATTCATGCATATGTAACGTAATCATTATTGATTAAACTTTGTGAAATAATTAGATCAGTTTTTTACGCCCACATTTTGATGTGGACGTATATTGTTGTCGTCCCTGTCTGTCTGTCCGTCCACGATTTGTTTTTGGGTGGACACGCTACAGGTCACAATTTTAATATAGGTTTATTGTCCAAAAATCACGTTTTTAGCTTGTGGACACTCCAGAGGTCACAAGTCTTATCCGATTTTGATGAAACTTAAAACGTATGTTTACAACCCAAACATCTCGGTTTCTTTCGAAACTATTCAAATACATCATGGTTACACCCTAATGATGGTTGAATTCGAATTTCGTGAAAATGGACGCTCCTTGTGCGATAATAGTGGAAAAGTATGTAATGTTTTAAAGAGGTCACAGTTTTTATCCGATATTGATGAAACTTAAATAATATGTTTATATCCAAAGGATCTCTGTTCCAGTAGATATTCACATATATCGAACCATAGCTTCCTGAATTATGTCCCCTGATTGTACAAAAAACACGTTTTTAGCTTGTGGACCCTCTTGAGGTCATAAAGACGCTCTAAAGGCTAAAGTTATAATCCAATTGACTTATACAAGAGGGGGGTTGGATGGCCGAATGGTTAGCATGTGCCCGCTGTATCAGAAAGCCTGTCATTGAGTCAACTGGCGTGGTTTCGAATCCCCGGTCGTACGTGACAAGGAGTAGGGTCGCCTGTCCAACCTTGTTGGTTTTCTTCGGGTCCTCCGATTTCCCCCCACTGCTAAAGACCCCTATGCGCAAGTGAATTATTGAAATAAAATTAAACCATGTTAGTCCCGAAATGACCTAGTTTGTGTCGAGTGGACGTTTAACCCCATTTCTCTCTCTCTCTCTCTTATACAAGATGTAAGTGTTATGGCCATCAGACGAAAAAAAAAACATTGATTTTCAGTGACTACCAATAATTACTGGCAGAGTTATAGCCCTCACTGACATTGAAACATATTGTGGACTCTCTACAGGCTAATTACTTTATTACTTATTAATAGGTTGTTTCTTTTGATCAGCTTTTGTGTCATTTTGATGTTTCCACCTGCAAAACAACAAATATGACCCACACGGACTTCTCCGAAGACAAAGGTGCTGTGGGCGCATGTTTAGTTGCCAGTCAACCTATCTTTTGATAAACTTGAGACAAGTTTGCAATCAGCATGAGGCAATTAGCTACAATTAAATGTATAGTTAAACACACAGTTTAACGCTACAATTGATATAGTAATTCTATCACAATAGTGAAGACTGGACCACTAAAGTAGTTACTTTGTGGTAATGCGATCTACATTTTCAAAGCGGTGTTTCTTATAATGTGAAAGCCGCCATGACACCGGCCAGATGAAATAAGTTCGGTAGGCGAAAAATTACTCGTAGCAGTTTGGTTTCATATCATATAATTATGCGGTAAGGCTTCACCTTTATTTCAATGGGAATTGGTTTATTATATGTTAAGCTATGTGCAGTACAGTTTTGGGCCAGTTTATGTATAAATTAAGGGAGCTGTAGGTCAGTAACCTTTTTGTAGTCATTTGACTAAAAAACTTACGCAAAGGAACTCCGCAGGACGAGCTACTACTGTGGCTGGAGTAAGGCGGAAGACATCAGTAGTGGAACCATCTCTACCCAACCAGTAGCCTAGTGGGTTTTCGTCGGGTTCTCCATATTGACTGACTGAGATACACATAACTACCGGTAACATCGATCGCACAAAAAGGTTAGGGAATATGCGTTGGGAGGATTACAAAATGAAATGCGGTTTTACGTCCTACTTTTCTGCACCAACTGCAGGTGATACTGAAGACGAGCATACGACATGCATTGTGCTATGTGGGAAATTTTATCCGGATATCAAATCGCACGGCCTACTCTTATTCAACTACTCAACTGTCAATCAAGGGTTCTTTTACTTGATTACCAACGTGTACGGCTAGACACTGTCTGCATCACTGACAAGTGGAAACCGCGATTGGAAATCCCAAGAAACTTCCTCGGCCAGCACCTAGATCGGATACCCTGATTAATGAACCAGCGTCTTACACCGTGGCTCGTTGGGAGGATTACGTCTCCTCACCCACAAACGTATAAATGCATAATTATATGACGGATTTATCATGTTCTTTGGCGTGAATGTGTGTGAATTTCACAAAATGGTATATCTATACTTACACAATTCGAGAGTCGGCCGTCGTAACCCTAAAATACCGTGCACAAATGCATGTAATACGCATTTAGGGAGTGTGCCGATTACAAAATTGCCATGTTAAACGCGTAAGGTGTGTGGGGATAATATAATTGCCATAATATATTAACTGGCTGCTACAGTTATCTTGTTTGGTGTAAGTTTTCCATACCGATCGATCTGTTATTCCCCAAAAAACCCAAATCATGGGCGCAAATATATGTACTACACATAGGACGTGTGGCGATTGAATATTACTTGCCTGCCACAATTACTTTAATTTGTGTGAATTTTCCATACCGATCCATCTGTACTTGACATATTACTATATTAATGTCGGCCATAGTAATCCTGATAATAATAATAATGATATCGTTTATTTGTAAAGCGCGTTAATACAGAACAAAAACAGTTTCTAAGGCGCTGTTGGTTATATTCACTGATTATTTACAGATCAGGGTTTTGAAACAAGAATGTTTTGAGTTGAGATTTAAAATGGCCCACAGACGGTAATTGTTTCATTGACTGTGGTAGTCATTCCAAAGAAAAGGGCTAGTATAAGAAAGGGTACGTTTTCCAAGTTGTAAGTTAATAGCTGGAGATTTTAGAATATGTTTTTTCTGAGAACGAAGATTTCTGCTGGTGGTATAGGGTTCTACAAGACTTTTTATATGAGATGGAGCTTGGCCGTTTAAAGCTTTGCAGATAAAGAGGAGTAAATTGAACTTAATTCTTTGCTGAATTGGGAACCAATGTAGAGATTGCAATACCGTGGAGATGTGTTGCTATTTCTAGTTTTAGTGAGGCACCGAGCTGCTGAATTTTGAACATGACGTAGTTTGTTAATCTGATAGTCTGGTAAGCCGTATAGTAAACCATTTTGGTAACCTAGTTTAGTTGAGATGTATGCGTGAATGAGTTCTCCTTTATTTTCATAATTGGGATAGCGTTGGATCTTTCAAATTCGATGTATATGATAGAAGGTGGTGGAGCAAATACTTTGTATGTGATCGTTCAACGATTGGTTCGAGTCTAATACAGCACCAATATTTCGAGAGTTATAGGATCCTGTGATCACTTCTTTATCAAAATTAACTAGCGTTTGATCAATTTTTCAGAGTTGTTAGTTAGTTCCAACGACTAGATTTTCTGTTTTATTTGGATTTAATTTAAAAAAATGTTCTGTCATCAACCAAGAATTTCCGTGGGACAAAGTTCTATATTTTGTATCGTGGAATGTTGAGAGTCTGTCTCAAATTCAATATAAAGTTGGGAGTCGTCTGCAAACACATGAATATTTAGCCCATAGCCTTCATCAATCTTAATGGTAGACTTTGTGAAGATGATAAAAAGTACAGGTCCGAGTACAGAACCTTGCGGTACCTCACAAGGCATTATATTATCATCGGATGTTGAATCTCTAATTCTGACAGCTTGGGTGCGATTGGTTAGATATGACTTAGCCCAGTTAAAGACAGAACCACGCAAGCTAATTTCACACCATAATGCATCATGAAAATCTTCGGTATCGAGCATATCAAATGCGGCTGAGCGATCTATATGTATATAAGATCTAAGAGTACCAAGATAACACATTTCTGTTGATCTAAAGCTCGGTAGATATCGTTGGTGATTTTGAGTAAAACAGTTTCTGTGCTGTGGTATTGTTTGTAAGCAGATTGTAATGGATTTTGAAGGTTATTGGAATAAATATGACCATTTAATTGATTTAGAACACACTTTTCTAGGCGTTTTGAAATGTAAGATAGATTACTGACTGGACGGTAATTCGACAGAATATCTGGATCCATGTTGGATTTCTTTAATAATGGTTTAACAATGGCTTTTCCATTAAATATTAATGTCTGTTACAATTATTTTAATTTGTGTAAATTTTCCATATCGATCAATCTGTACATGACATATACTAAGCAGCAAACGAAACGTCGGGTTGGTATGTTAATCTGAATAGACGCATTGCATAAAATATGTCAAATGTTTTTATTATTTGTGACCACATCTCCAACCTTACCTGAGCAATAAGGCTCCTTCTCAAACACGGAATTGAACCCAGGAAATATTCTCAAAAACGCAACCTGACTTCTGAGATGGTAATGTGTTCTCCATGATTTTCAAGTAACTCATGCTGTTCACCGGGACCAGTCCTATAAAATGCACCCCATACCTGGTTGAATCATTCACACTACAACGTCAGCAGCATGCCACGACTCACGACAGCTCAGAGGGACCAGGCGCTTGGAAGACTCGACGCTCGCCACACTGCCCAAGCCGTTGCCAATCACTTCCAGGTCAATGTTCGGACCATCTACAGGCTTCAGCAACGCTTTCGAGCCACCAACACCACGAATGATCGCCCCACAAGGCCAAAAGACTGCCATGTTCTGCGACAGCAATTGTAGAATCCCTTCACACAGGCATCTGAGACAGCACGTCAGACAGTGGGAACACACGGAAGACCCATTAGTACCGATACAGTGCGCCGACGTCTTAACAGAGAGAACATCCATTGCCGTAGACCTTACCGTGGACCGATCCCCATCCCACGCCATCGACGTGAACGTCTACAGTTTACCCAACAACACGAGAACTGGTGAGACAGACAGTGGAGAACGTTTTTTTTCACAGATAAGAGTCGGTATTGCTATCAACTGCGGATGGCAGGACAAGAATATGCCGTTGAGGTGGCCAGTGTTATTCTGACCAATGTGTCATGTGTCATGCTTTGATCCATTTAGTAAGTCGT